GAATGTCGGGGTGGGAGCTTCCCAGGCACAAGTCCAGGGAAATTTTTGGTGTGTGATGACTATCCCTGGGGGCCATGGGGGGAAAGTGGGTAACGTGCACAACATAAAATGTAGCCTCTTGTCCATTTTGAAATGTACAGTTCAGCGGCGTCAAATATACCCAGGTTGCTGTGCAGCAAATCACCAGTGTCCGTTTCCGGAAATTTTTCATCATCTCATAGTGAAGCTGTCCATTAAACAGCCACTCCCCCAGATGGCCCACCCCCACCATGGTGACCACCGTTCTCTCTCTGACTTTGAGGAGTGTAGATACCTCAGAGAAGCGGAACCTGCCTTGAGCACTATCCCACGTATGGAGAGACCAATTTGTGTATCCATCCATTTTTTGGAGGTTTTGGGGCAAGCTGGGACTCTATGCCAGAGAGGGGCATGGGCTGGGGATGCCCAAGGGGCTCCTCCCCTTTGCCTCTCCTAGCTCTAGCTCTGCCTTGGTTTCCCTGACTCAGACTTGCCCCAGCCACCAGGGCTGGCTCTCACTCTGGCAGGACTGATGGGCCTGCCATTCCTAGAAGGCTTCTTGGAGGAGGCGGCCTCAAGTCAGAGATTGGAAGGTTGCACGGGTAGGAAGATTGTTCAGAGGGAGAAAGGGAATTTGGAATTGAACTGAAGAGTCTGGGTTGGGGAGTCTCAGCTCAGATACAGAGAACGATGTCTTTGTTAGACAAGCTCCCTGGGGGCCTCTTGAGGCTCCCTCCCTGGCTGCTGACTTCAGGGAGGTGGGGAGCAGATGAGGAAGGAGAAGAGGAGCTGGATGAAAGCTTTCAGGGCCCAGGCACAAGAGAAATAAAAGATGTTATATCCATGGCATAGTCTAATGAGGCAATAAGGAAGCAGTTTTAAACTCTTCCTGGAGGTGATAGAATTTGGGGCTGAGTGAGGGAAGGGAGAGCTATTTGTTGAGTACCTACTGTCGTCAGGCATAAGCCACGTAATGCCTCGTGTAATCCTCCTTTTCTTTTCTGAAAAAGAAACTGAGGCTGAGAAAGGTAAAGGGACTTGTCCAGACTCCACAGCTTGGGAGTGGAGGAAACAGGATTCAAGCCCAGGTCTGTACGCAAAGCTCTAGAGGTGTGTGCTGGGCTAGAAGGCTGGACAGGATCTTCAGGTCATCTCTGCGTTCTCAGAAACCAGATGCACTGACTTAGGCCAGGTTCATGAAGCTGTTTCCTAGAGATGAGGCCCGGATAACCGGGCCTGGGGTTAATTAAAACATCACTCCCCAATTAAAAGTAGAAAAGAAGGAGCTGTTACATTCAATCAAGCCCCTTTCTCCTTCTCCCGCAGAATCCTAATTTGTGGACAAGGGTTTTAATTGTCTTCCCAGTGAGCCCAGCCCCTCACAGGCCCTGGGGCTGCAGAACACAATTGCATCCCTCTCAAAAATCTGTATTATACCAGCCTCCCTGGGGACTGGCTGTGAGGAGTTACCTGAGCAGGGAGGGAGGACTCAGGGACGGGGAGGAGTCAAAGAGAAGAAGAGGTTTTAAGTCTCCAATTTAGCAGAGACGCTGATGGAAACTGGGAATCTGGTGGCTAAAGGGAAGCGGTGGAGGGTCTGAGAAGAGGAACAAGTTCTTCATGTTACAGACCCGCACTCTAGAAGCCTCTAACACATCCAGATGTCACTGCTTCTCACTGTGCGACCTTGGCTAAGTCCTTAACTTCTCTGAACCTCAGCTTCCCCATCTGAAAAATGAGGACACTGATGATCATACCTACCCCTTAACATCGGAGTGGAGACGTGAGAAAATGCACCTGAAGAGGCTTGGTGCCTGGCACAAACCAAGCAATCTTTTCCTGAGATGATCATTGTATCATCAGCAAAATGGGTGTGAATTAGCTTCCAGTTCTGGTGTGGGTGTGGTCCTCAGTCAGTGTCAGAGAGGGAGCGAGGGCCTCTTACCTGTCTGAGCTGCTGCTTACCTTCAGTGGAGATAGGAGGAGCTGAGGGCACCGTCTCTGGAGGTGTGCAGAGGTGCAGAACTCGTGGGCAACTATACCTGTAGATCAGACCCAGGCCTGGCAGGGGCTGTTGGGCCCCTGGTTCTTGGTCACACCGCTGGTCAGACCTGGGTTCAAAACTTAGCTGTGCATGGGTCTTGGGCAAGTCACGTCGCCCTTCTGAGCCTCATTTGCCTCGCCCACCAAATGGGAGTGAGTGGCCTGGAGACAGGTCTGCACAGAACCAGGCATGTAGTAGATGCTTAATAAATGGTGTGCAAATTTTTTTTTAAAGCGGTCTGGATTTCCCTCCTCCCTGCCTGGCTCCCACCTGCCCCCCTCACCCCCCACATTTGCTCTCCTTGCCTCACTGGTCAGTTCCCATGCATCCTGCAGGACCTAGCTGACATGTCACCTTCCCCTCGTGAAAGTGAAGGTGACCTTTCCCTTCCTCCAGCGCAAAGAATGGCCCACTGGATGTACGGCACTTTCTCCCTCAGGTGGTCAGAGCTGGTGGGGCTCTGGGACCATCAGGACTAACCCCTGTGGAGCAGAAGAACAAGCTGAGGCCCAGAGAGGGATAGCGATTTTCCCAAAGTCACACAGCATGGCCGTTGCCATCCCTGGCTCCAGTCCTGTATTCCAGGGCCTGCCCACATACACGCTTCTCCCCTGGAGGCCTCCAGGGAGGGGCTGGGGCTGAGGCAGCCTTCAAGCTGTTGCCTGTGAACAAGGAGACTCAGATATTCCTGCAAAGCCCCAGAACCTCGAGTTCCCTGGTCCTACAGTCGCACTGCCCCTTCACCACCAAGCTGAAAGCCCTCATTAATGATTTTTACATGTTGAAATACTGTTTCTTGATATCACAGGTTAAATTAAAAAATTAAAATTAATTTCTCCTGTTAAATTTTTTGGTTTCCCTTTATTTAACGCAGCTACTAGAAAATTGGAAATTCTGAATGTGCCTATCCATGTGGCTCAAGTTCTACCTCTGGGGCACAGCACCCTCTAGATGACCACTGTTGGGGTTCTAGCGGAGAGGTGGCTGTGGGGGGTCCCTCCAGGCTGTTTAAGGGTGAGAGGTACTGACTGAGGATTCAGAGCTGGAACCTGACCTTGCTGACCCTTGGATGTGATGCAACCCCAGACCAGACACTGCCCTCTCTGAAATCTGATTCTGCATCAATAAAAAGAGCCCTTTGGCCCTAGTCGGGGTTTTCAGTCGCTAAAGCAGCAGGGGGAGGCAGAACAAAAGGGTTGGAAGAGTATTCTGGAAGCCCAACCCACAGGGTGCCCTGCAGGCTGAATACGGGGTGTAAGAACAAAAAGGAGGGGTGAAAGACAGCTGTAAAGTTTTTGGCCTGAGCATTCAGAATGCAGAGTGGGGAGTCCCTTCCCTCGGGGAGCTGGTTTCTCTCCTGCCTGGAGGAATAAGCAGTCCCCACTTCAGATCCCTGCGAGAAGGCTCCTCTCACACTGCCCGTGTGTGTCCAATAATTCTGACAACATTCATTTCTCTTTAACAGGCTTTGTTTGTGTAGCAGCAGCCAGCTCCTCCCAAGCCTCCAGGAAGCATCTCATTAACCTTTGACTTTGGGGATCAGGGATATTACAGTCTTTCTCTCAGTCCAGAAAGAGGTTGCCGCAAAGCTCCCCGGGGAACCCTGTGTGTACAGCAGAAAAAATCAGAAGCTTCCAGATGGAGGCATTTGTCGACCACATCCCCCAAACCCTCAGTGTCCTGGGAGGGAAGAGGCAGGGGAGCCCAGCCTAGGGGCTTCCAGCACAGAGCTGCCCCGAGTTGAACGGGGACAGGGGGGCACAGAGAGGCTGGAAGGCTGAGTGCATCTCCCTGGGTGTGGGGGCGCCTCAGTAGGCTGCAGCAGTACAGGGGGGCACAGGGCTTGGGGCGACTGATGGACACATTCCCTGGGTGACCTGCATGTTGCCAGGTATCTTTCCAGGGTGAGATAATTGCTCCTGAGAAGAGGGAAGAATTCTAATTACATCTCAGGGTGTTTGTTTGGAGGGAGAGAGACAGAACATATGGTGGGGAGGGGCCTTGAGCCATAGGGAGGAGGGATTTGTTTCTTCATTTACCTGGTGGGTGGGGTGGGGCTGCTGCCGGCCCAGGGGCAGCAACTGCCCTGGGCTTTGAAGAGGGATCTGGGCCCTGCAGGGTGGGGCCTGGGAAGCAGGTCTGGGAACCCCGGGAGAGAGAATGTTCCAGCAGTTAGACATGCAGGAGCTGTGCAGCTCTGGGTCCCTGCTGTCATGGAGCCAGGACAGGTGCTGCCGGAGTTACAGATGGGCAGCAGCCACGGTGGGGTCAGGGACGCCTCTCTGACCTGCTAAGGTTGAGAGACTTGTCCAGCAAGTCAGGACCAAGGGAAGAGCATTCAAGGGTATGAAAACAGCAGGGCAAAATGAGGCAGGAAAGGAGAGGCTGAAGGACAGAGGAGGCCAGGGGCAGTGATAGGGGGATGCCCCTCCACCCCCACCCCAGGGAGTTGGTCCTTCTTATAGTGAGGAAGGAGCCAGGGAGAGTTCTGGGCAGGGGGGGGGGCCGGGTCTGGGTGGGTTTCTGGTACTGCCTGCTGTGTTCTGAAGGTGGGAAAAATCCAGAAGGCAAACTGGGTGGGGCAGCTGGAAGAATTGATGAGAGGGGGCAGCTTCCGCCTGACTGTTCCTCCCCTCCTCTTCTCCACTGCTTCCCCATGAGTCTCCTAAGGGCCACGGACTCCGGGAGAGAGGCCCCATCGTGGGGGGACACTCAGGGCCCTGTACCTGCTTCTTCATCCCGATGGGCTGCCAGCCACAGCTGTACACCCCTTCCTGGCCCCACTGAGCTTCCCAGATGCCCCCCGGCCCTGAAGCCAGCCCACTCCTGCCGTCAGGCCTGGCTGCTCTCACTTTCTCCACCTCTCCCTCACCCATCTGTGCCCAGTGGCCCTGCTGTTTCCTGAGCCTCCGCTACTGCTCCCCGTTTCTCTGCACAGCCCTGTTCACAGAGACGCCCCATGACATGACGGCGCGGACGGGCGAGGACGTGGAGATGGCCTGCTCCTTCCGCGGCAGCGGCTCCCCCTCCTACTCGCTGGAGATCCAGTGGTGGTACCTGCGGACCCGCAGGGACTGGACCGACAAGCAGACGTGGGCCTCGAACCAGGTTTGGCCCCGGGGAGGCGAATTTGGCGGGGACCCTGGCCCTGGGGAGGGTGTCTGCAGGCCCCAGCTCTGTCCCCGCTGCACCCAGCTCCTTCCTTCCTTCTTCCTGAAATGGAGACTTATGTTGGGGGGGGACATGGCGGTCAGTAGAAGCAGAGGACAGCTGAGCATGTAGGGTGTCGCCCCATCAGAAGGGCACTCCAAGGAGCGCAGAGGCCCACTCTTTGGTGGACAAGTGGGGGAGCCGAGACCAGAGGGACAGCAGCTGGCCGGCCCCAGGTTGCACGGCAAGGCCAGCTCCTGACTCGCCTTCCACCACCTCTGCAAGCTGCACGAGCAGCGGGTTCGTGAAGGACCTGCAGCCCGGGCGGCATTGTTGCGGGCTGTCTCCAGCGTGCACGCGCACACGGATGGCACACACATTCACCGCTCACACACACCCTCGTCAGTGCATACCGGAGGGACACCTGCTGGCTGTCCATGGGCGTCCCCCACCCTGGCCAACAGCCTCACTGCCCACCGCCAGTCCTGGCGACTCTGCAGAGGGTTTTCTCCAGACATGGAACCTGCCCCCCACCTCCCATGGAGGAGAGTTGGAGGATAAGTACCCTGATCCCTGGCCCCTAGCTGGAGGGCTTCCTGCACCCTCGCCTGAGTGTCCTTCAGGAGTGGCCACCAGTGGCCACCATGGAAACCGACTTGGAAACAGACCCTTACGGACTCCCTTCCCCTCTTCCCTCACTCATCCACTCCTGCTGAAGTTTCCTCCCACGTCCCTGCTTGCACTCGAATCTTTGTCTCATGGTCTGCTGCTGGGGCATGCAGCTAGACACTGGTTTTGACACCTGTGTGTAGACAGCTGAAGCCCAAGCACGCGCTGTGCCCGCCCCTTCACACCCGCACACGGCACGTTCCCACATGCCCATGAAGCGCCCGCTCACAAGTTCAGGCGTGTTAACCTCTCTTGTTCCTGGGGTGTCTAGTCCCCAGCACATCAGCCGCCCCCCCCCCCGTGTCTTAGAGGACCCCAGAGGTCTGAGAGAGCCCTTCCTGAGCAGGTACTTGACACTGGGGGCCTCGGGACCAGCTTCCAGAAGGGTGTGGGTGGGGCACGTGGGCGGACCCCAACAGCATCTGCCACAAACAAACACACACTTGTGTGACGCCACATTCACAGCAGAGCACGTAGACACACTGAGAGCACACACCTTTCCACCGGTTCACACCCGCCCACCCCATACCTGCCAGGACGCCCTCCTGGGTACCTGCATTGCACACGTGCGTCCGGCTGCCAGACACCTCCTCTGTCTTCCTGAGCTCGGCCTCCCCTCTGACCCCCGAGTGGACGCAGAGCTGAGGGACCCCCAGCTCCAGACCCGGTGGCTCCAGAGCGAGAATCTCAGCTGTGGTCGGAGTCCTCACCCCACATGCTAACGCCTTGTCTGCTCTCTCTGCCCGCCCCACTCCCAACAGCTAAAAGCATCTCAGCAGGAAGACGCAGGAAAGGACGCGACCAAAATAAGTGTGAGTTTTGATAATGACTTCTTGCAAGGGCTCTAATGGAGGACACAGCTGTCATTTTTTTTTTTTTTTTTTTAAGTCCGGTGAGGTAGGGAGCTTGGGCAAGAAGATGGAGGAGGAGAAAAAAAGGAGGGGGAAAAAAATGGCCCTGCTCTGTTTTTTAAAAGCTAGGGATTTTTCAAGTTCATTGAATGACAGGCACAAAAAATGACAGCAGGAGAGGAGATGCATTCTCTCTGTCCGGGCCAAGGCTGTGTTTGTCCTGATGCGTGCCTGCCGCAGCAGCATTTTTTATTTGGGGAACCCACAGGGTCTAGCGTGAGTCAGCTGGCTTTTTCCCTGCCCGTCTTGACTGGCTGAGGCAGGATCTCACGGTCACCCCGGGGTGAGCCTGGAGGGGAGCCGCAGCTGAAGGCCTTCAGGCTGACCAGGCCTTCTTGAGTGCTGACATATTGTATCACTGCTGCAACTCGAAGGGGAAGGGCCGAGCATGTGCCCATTTCACAGGTGAGGCCACTGAGGCTTGAAGGGTTAAATACCTGCGGGAGCTTGTGCTTGGCTGACCTACGAGCTCTTTATGGCTGGGCTTGGTGGGAGCCCAGGATGGGTGGAAGATGGTTTTTGTGGGAGGTGGCATCCAAAGTTGGGCCTAAAAAAAGGGCCTAAAAACGGCTCTGGGCTTGAGGAGGGAGCGGAGGGAAGAGCACAACAGACAGTGCTCCCCTCCTGGGGACTGGGTGGCCATGGCGAGCTGCATTTGTGGCTGGGGAGAGAGGCTGGACCTCTTCCAGGGACACGCTGCAAAAGGAAGGGGCCCACAGGAGTATGGGTGTGTGTGGGAGGGGGTTGGGGGTGGGGCTTCAAAATTACTCTTTTCTGCTGCTTCTTCTACAACTTTCCTAAGTCTTCTGGGGTAGCTTGAGACCCTAAATCCCATGAGACGCAGAGGCACAGAAGAGCTTCTGTAAAAGTGGGCACAGGCGGGCATGGAGGTGTAGTGCTGGGTATTGGGGAACAGGGGAGCCAGGGAAGAAGCTTTTGGGCCACTCAAGCAAGAAGCGGGAAGATGAGAGAACGGGGGTGGGGGGGGCGGGGGGAGCTTCAAAGCGTCATTTGAACCATCCATCTCGGGGCCTTTCTGAGTTGGGGGTCTGGAAATTCAGCCGTTTCTAACAGGTCCTCGCCCCCCCACCCCATCTTGCCCAAACACCCAGCAGTTAAACCAGGACAGATAGAGAGATCTGTGTGTGCTAAAACACCCTGTTCATTGCAACTCTCTCTCCTATGATTTTATTTGGGGTTTAAGGCAAAGGAGAGAATCATCTAATTGACTTAGAGGATTAGAATTGAAGCTGCTGGGCCCCACGTGAGGGGAATGTGAAGATGCTAATTAGTTAAATGAAATAAATGCGCTCAGCATGATTGCACAGTTGCCCCCAGCCCCACAACTCCTCCACCAGCTGGGGCTCCGGGAGCTGGCTGGGAAGCCCAGACAGGCATAGACTCATCTCCCAGTGCAGACAGCACCCCA